CACACACACACACACACACACACACACACACACACACACACAATCATACAACCATACACGTATATAGGAGTGGTTTGGTGAATGGCATTGAATGATGTAATTCTTCTTAGAATGTCTGTCTTTAAAAATGTAAAAAATCATCTTCATACATGTTAACGAATAGTTCTTTGAACTTTGTTTTAAAGCCGCCCAGACTACATCAAAGAAAACCTTGGCAAAACCCAATGTGAGAAATATCGTAGTGGTGGATGGTGTTCGCATCCCATTTTTGCTGTCAGGCACTTCGTGAGTATGAAATAATTGTGTGGTTCCCCACCCCCCAAGCTTTATTGAGGTATTGACGCATAAAAACTGTATCAATTTAGGTTGTGATTTTTTAAAAAGGTATATAGTGTGATGATTTAACATACATTGTGAGATGATTACCACAATCAAGTTAATTAACACATCCATCACCCCACTTTGTAAATGTAACCAGTAGGTAATAGTGTTGTTAGTGGGCTACTTAATACATGGATAACATTTTCAGAAATTAATACAAAATAATAAGTCAAGCCAGTGGTGAAATAATATGGCAAATTTGTTTTTCATCCTTTCTCATGAACAAGCCTAGTGTACTGTTAGATTGAACTAGCCTTATTTTGAAAACCTAGTGTGGGTTCAGATAGCTTGCTTCTAGCAGAGATATCCTTTCCTGTCTAAGATAAGTACATTGCTTCTGTGCCTCTTCAGAAATTTGAATACTGAGGATTTGAGCCCATGGACATTCTGAAGGGCCTTTAATTCACTGCTTTGGTCTCTTGGAAATGATCAGAATTGGAGTTGATGGGTTGGTCCAAACCCCGGCATAGCACAACCCCAAGAATATAGAACCAGAATGGTGCAAGACCAGCCCGAAAATTCCCCAGAACCAAACTGCTGTTCTCCTTAGACTTTTCTGTGCCCATGTGAAGCCCAGTCTGTCCAAAAGCTGATAATGGATTTTGGTAACTAGGTTTAAACTAAATGAAACCTGAGTTCTATTCTGTTTTGATTGTTTTGATGTTCATATTTTAAATAAACAGTCACTAACTTAAAACCATTCTGGGGAATGTTAGGCATCTGCTAAGAATAATGAGACCTATCTTTATGTAATAATATGGAAATATCTTGAAGATATATTAAGTGTAAAAGGCAAGATGCTGAGCAGTGTGTATAATACCATCATTTGATACCATCATTTGAGGAAGATGCACACGTTGTGTTTTGGGTATACATACATACACAAACAATAAACGTTCATTTTTAAACCAGTGATTTAGTACCTAGAGACTACTACTTTCTTTTTTTTAATCCTCACCCAAGGATATGTTTATTGATTTTAGAGAGAGAGGAAGGGAAAGAGCGAGAGAGAAACATTGATGTGAGAGAGAAACATCAATCAGTTGCCTCTTGTACACACCCTAACCGGTGATCGAACCCACAACCTAGGTATGTGCCCTGACCAGGAACTGAACCTGCAACCTTTTGGTGTACAGAGTGATGCTCCATCCAACCAATCCACCTGGCAAGTGCCCTAGAGAGTTTTTTATGGAAGTAATGCTACAAGAAAATGGTGGTGAAGTTTCATTCACCCTCTTTTCTCAGTATAGTAACCCATTGAACAGTGTTTTTATAATCTGCATCATAGCCTGAAGAAAAAAATAAATATCCGTGAGTTCAATCTGATATAAATAAATGATTGAATAAGTAAATAAGAGGAAAGGTCAAGTC